GTTGTGCTTGTGCATTGTTTTATTTATTATTCCAGGAGAAGCTAGAGTGATTTCTCCAGCCTGGGTTGTAGGTATTGGAGTATGGATTATTTTCTGGCTTGAAAATACTGAACATAAAAAAAATTTTGTGTTACAGGGAATCTTATTTGATATTCTCCAACACTGCCAGCTTTCCTACATTCTTCATATGCTAAAAACCTCGCTTGCATTCCTTTAATGAGCTTTGGGTGGTGATATCATGATCCATCATTTTCTTTTCCAATGAAGCGATATGTTCTGATAATGCCGAGAAAGCATATATTTCATGAATTCCAATCGATTTCTTGTATATGACTCTTCGAAAGGCCGTGAAGTAGTCACGACAACAAAAATGTGCTTTTGCAACATTTGAACTGCAACATTCATTGAAAAAATGTTACTATAAGGGTTCATTGCAACGTTCGTGTCAGTAAATGTTGCGAAAAGTGAGATTTTGCAACATTTTTCAAATAAACGTTGAAAAAAATGACCTTTCGCAACGTTCGCCGACTGTTGCGAAAAGTGTTCATTGAACGTTGCTAAAGGTGACCTTTGGCAACGTTCACCAAACGTTGCGAAATGTCACTTCTAGCAACGTTCAATGAACGTTGCGAAAGGTCTATTTTTCGCAACGTTCTTGAAGGTTGCTTTTCGCAACATTCATTGAACGTTGCGAAAACTCTACCCTTTTGCCAAAAAGTCTCAACAAATGACCCAACTTAAAATCAAATCAGTTCAAGATATTAACCCTAGTTTTTTCTTCTTCTCTCGTCTTCGCTCCCCTGAGCCTCTCACTCTCTCTAACTCTCATTTTCACGGTGCAATCGCCGTAGAACCGACTCCTCATCGCCGTGTCCTCCACTGATTCGCGTCCTCACAGCCACTTCCAGGTCCGCCCTTTTCAAATTTGAATTGTGTGTAAACATTTCTTGATATAAATATGAATTTATCATTTTATTTAATTCTTAGTTTACATTTAATAAAAAAAAATNGAACAATATTGTTGATCATCAAGTTAGTCACAATTCATCTTGATGCTGAGTACAAAACACCTTGCCCTTCCTGGGGGTGGAGAAGCCAAATAATTATAAGACTACAAAGAGACTGAGGCACAGGAAGAACATACCCTTAACTATCTAACAGGTTGTAAGCCTCAAATTGGTGCTCCTGCCCGACATAAAACCCTGCCACTCCAATCTTTTAGATACTACTGTCCAAATGACGACTTCCAACTTCGACCTCAAAGCTTCCAAGAAACATATCAAGTCTTATTATGTTTTGACTTGATACAGTTTTTGGTAATGCTTGTTCCATATTTCTTATGCGGGGAGGGGGGATACTCTTAGTTAGAGTAACTTGCGTGCTTCCTTTATCCAATTTCCTGGATGCAACCATTATTAGAGAGAGTATGGTTAGAAAGGTCTTCTCATAAGCTTTCCAACCACATAATGAACTCAAATGTTGGACTTAAAATGAAGAAGTTATAAGGCTTCGAAGTTTTGGATGAAAATCTGATTTTTCACATTAAAATCGGTAAAATCCAAAACTTAATCACATGATAACTTCTTCCACACCATGTTTCATGATTCCCATTTCGTATGGATTGATAGATCTTCTCGATACCTTTCCAATGGTATAGAGAACATATTTTTTGGCATTTAATTGAAGAAGTTATGGCCTTTCGAAGTTTTGACATATATCTGAAAAAAAAAAAAAAAAAAAAAAAAAACTGTAATATGACCTATGGCAACGTTTAAAAAACGCTGCCATAGGTCTTTTTGGCAACGTTTTTTAGTCTTTGGTAACATTTAAAAAACGTTGCCGTATCTTTCTACTCTACGGCAACACCTCGATTTGCAACACACGTCCAAACGTTGCAAAAGGTCTTGCCGTAGGCTGTTTTTGTTGTAGTGAGTAAAATTTTAAATAAAACTATGACTAAAAAGAAATTAAGCTTGTGTTTAACATCCATTTTGGGGAAAAAATGAATTCTAGAATAGTGATTCATGGAAGAATGTGTGGTTGAAAAGTAATGAAAAAGTTTTAGATTTGTGTGTAATATTATTTTATTTGGAGAATGTGTAGTTGAAATGAAGAAAAAGAAAAAAAATGAGAATGAGAGTAGATGTCAAACAGAGCCTAAATAAACAATAGTCCTTGATAATGGCGCTATAAATTTGTTCGCTAAAATCACGTGTACGACATATGACTAGTAGTAATGTGAACATGAGTCCAAATATCGATCCTCAGAGACTAGTCTATTCAATTGAATCATATTAACCATAACATTAATCAAATTAACCAGTTTGTTTGAGATTTATCATATCAAACTAAACCAACAACTAATCTAAATGTCAAACTCTTAACTAGGTGAGAAGCTTGTATGAATTCAATTAATGGAAAGCACTAGGCGTTGAATCCCCTTAAAATCTTCCAATATGTGAACGATGCGAACATTCATAGAATCATGCAAAGTATAACGATATATTTCTATCTCTTATCAGACTTTACAATGATTTATAATATATGTGCTACATTCCCTAATCCTTCTCTTGAAATTGTAAATATGAATCACAAACAAATCAATTATTAGCTAGTAATTGAAAAGTTATTAAAATCCTAAAAATCATTCAAAACCAAATAAGTATTAAAGTAAAAACCTGGAAATTAAATTTAGAACTTCATACTATAGGGTTTATAATTATCTTAGCATCTATACACTTGCAGAATTTTGGGGCTTATGATCTCACATTAGCCCTTGTTTGAGCCCCATTTTGAAGACAAGAATGTATTTTAAAATAATGATTTTTAAAGATTGTGTGGTTAAAAAATAAGAAAAAGTTTTCTATTTTCTTGTAAAATTATTTTATTGAAAAATATGTGGTTGAAAATGAGTTTTGAAAAAATGAATTTTTGATAAAATAGTGCTCAAAACTTTATTTTCTATTCTATGATTGAAACATATCGAACTTCCGACCATAAGGTTCCATACTTTGCTTCCTTGTTCACGTTGGTACTCACTTCTCTTCTTGTTCCGGTCGAGTCCCCTTTTATTTGCAACATGACCCTTCATCTTTAAATCTTTATAACTTGAGCCTTATCATCCCCAATTAATTCGTAATTGATCAGTTTCGAGTTCTGAAAGTTTGCAATTGAGTCCTCAACTTCTGAAATGTTGGATTTAGCTCTTGAAAGTCGTGAATTTTATTATTGCTCTTTTAATTCTTTCAATTGATCCTGTGCGATTGATCTTCAGTTGATTTGAATCAACTCCTACTAGGCTCAAAATCACATTTCTTCTCTGCAATGGTATGTAAGTTTCCTATAACTAACATAATTAACCTAAATTAGGTAGATACGTGCTCAATTTAACAATAAATAATCAAGTTCAGAAATTCAAATAAATGTATAAAATACAATTATCGATATGAGCGGTTAGAATTAGGTAACCAGTTTGCAAAGGACTGATATGTTTCCCGAATCAACCAACTTTCTTTTGTTAATTTAATATCTTTTTTTAAGGTGCTAATGCAAATATGATTAGATTCTCAATTAGTTGTTGATTAAGAATATAGATACATACAACGCACTTGATATGTAGCTTTTATTGATGTTAACTTTCAACATAATGAATACAAATCAAAAGGCCAAAAATTAACACGTGAATACACAATTTAGATATATTTAGTACACAGTGCTTGACAACTCTATATCGTATAATAATAAGATTTTTTTTTCTACAATTCTATGTACGTCTAGTTTTTCTAGTACTGTGTAATCAACCTATACAATTAAAATATTTGACACCACATTGGTATCTCAGTCATGAAAGTTTTTTTTAAGTGCATTTAATGACTAATGTTTAGGAGACAGTGAGTTGGGTAAGTCCACTAGCTTCACGTGACATATAATTTATTAGTATTCTTGATGGTAGGCTGAAAGAAGGCTTTTAAGTGCAATTCGACTACGCAATGGTGATTACCTTGCCGCCATCACTGATGCATTAGGTTAATAATATGCTTTTAAATAAAAGCATAAAGTTATTTTCCTTTTAAGTGCTTGACACTGATTAGTGACATTGACAATTTTTATCTGTTTTTCACCAACCAAAAGGCTGCATTTGGTTGGTTGCTTGTCCAAGTAGAGGCGTACAGTGGGCCGGTCGGTTCAGCTCGGTTTGACTCGCATACTGCACGGCATGACACAACATAGCACGGCACGACCCATAATTTCTCGAGACAAGGCCAGGTCTGCCTATGCAGAAAAGTGCGATGTCTAGCACAACAGGCTGAGCAAGCCACCATGCTCACACCTTTTTAAAACTGTGCTCTTTTTTTTAGTATGGCACACGCGGCCCTGCCAACTGATGCTCAGCACTGAATGTGCTGGACACTCGGCATGCTGAGCTACCAACAATATGGCCAACAAGTTTGTGCAATAATAAATGAAAATTTGATATTCTTTGCTCTACTAATTCACTAAGAAAAAAATCTTATGCAAAAAACTGGAAATGACTGCTTGTCAAGTTTAAAGAGAAAAATTCTAAAGAACTCCATGGCAATGAAAAACCGGCTTATTGGGAGACGATTGCCCTCACCTTATTAAGTGGATCATTTATATTTTTCCAAACAATGTGGGATTCTAATACGCCCCCTCACGCACAGCTGTGAATAAATCGATATTGGGTGGCACCCAACATTGTATAATTGGGCCTAACTCTGATACCATGTTAAGAATATTGAGCCTAACTCCACCTAATAAAACCTGCTTACTAGGGGAGGATTGCTCTCACTTTATTAAGTGGATGATTTATATTTTCTCAAACAATGTGAGATTCTAGTATGTCAAGTTTAAAGAGAAAAATTCTAAAGAACTCCATGGCAATGAAAATTTGAATCCACTAATAAAGCATATATAACAGAAAAATTAGAATTATCTGCGGAGTTTTTTCGATACAAAAATTTATTTTAGTTCCTTGATGCTTATTCAATGAGCAGGTTTGAAGGACTATAAAGATACTGCTTCAGATGACCGATTTCATTAGCTACATCTAGCATGGTTGGCCTAGTGACAGGATTGTACTGTGTGCAGATTAACCCGAGTTCGATCAATTCCAAGATCACGTCACGCCATATCTTGCTGTTGTCACGTTGAATGGTCGCACATGTTGCACACCTTTCTATTGCTCCTTCAACAATTGACTCAAGCCTGTTCGGATAGTGACTTTTAACCCATTCGTGCAAACTTGAACCTTCTTTTATAAGGATATCCGTTGGGCGTCTCCCTGCCACAATCTCTAACAGAAGAACCCCAAAGCTATAAACATCTCCTTGAGGTGATGCCCGCTTTCCCATTCCATATTCTGCAATTGGAAAGACGAATTCAGATTGGTCAGCAGGGGCGAATATGATCAACATAACTATGAAAATGAAAAAATGGTTCAGACGTTAAACCGTGACATGTAGTATGTAGTACTGTCCAGAATTTTGAGTTCTAATATGAAATAATTAGCATATTTTTTGAATTTCAGATATTTTTTGAATAGAATATTATGAAGATTACTTACCGGGAGCAATATAACCAACTGAACCACAAAGCAAACCATCTGTAGAGCCGAAGGAATAAGTTGCTGAATCATTGATGGAAACATTCTCATCAGCAACTTTTACTAGTCTTGAGATGCCAAAATCAGTGACCAAAGCTGTCATATCGTCATCAAGGAGAATATTGCTCGGCTTAAGATCACAATGCACCACTTTCATTGGTGAATAGTGATGCAGATAGGCCATCCCTTCAGCCACATCACTGCAAATGCTTACAAGCCGAACCAAGTCCAATCTGCTCTTCAGTCCATGGCTTGGATACAGGTGATTTTCGAGGCTTCCATTTGGCATCAGTGGAAGGACAATGGCCTTAAAATCTAGCCTGTTGCATATTGTTATGATCCTGATCAAATTTCTGTGCCTGGTTCTTTTCAAAATTTGGCATTCCCTTTTAAAGCTCCTGGAAATATCACCATCTGCCTTAGAGTTCAGAACTTTCACAGCTATCATTGTGTTATCTTGAAGAACTCCTTTATAAACGTGACCAAATCTACCAGACCCAATTAGCGTTGAGGGACTAAATCCTCCTGTGGCTTCAATGAGTTGTCGATGAGAAATTTTTGGGTATTTTCTCTCTTTTCCTGTTGCTTCTTCTTCATCTTCAATGCCTTTCAGATTAAAAACCAGTGATTGCCCCCTGAAATTTGATCCATGTACTAGGGGATATCCAGCGATGCAGAAAATAGGAGTGATGACTAGTGAAAGGAGAATCGCCACTAATAAATGGCGAGTTTGTTTTCCGTGGCATTTTCTCATGCCTTCTATGGAACCACAAAGCATTTTATTCCCGAAGAAAGATTCGATGGTTAGTGACGAAAATGCACCTTTGTTTGTTAGGTTTCCCGAGAAGCTGTTGTAAGAAAAATTCAGTAGCTTCAAAGTAGACGAAGCCTGCAGAGATTCCGGTATCTCTCCTGTTAATTGATTGAAGGACACATCAAGTTCTTTAAGATACAGCAAGTTTCCTATGGACGCAGGAATTGTCCCTTCAAAAATATTTCGCGAAAGGTTGAGGTGCTCTAGAGCAATACAGCTTCCAAGTTGGGAGGGGATCGTGCTCGAGAGGTTGTTTGATGATAGGTCAATGGCTAGAACCATGTCCATTTTACTCAGCTCCAGTGGAAGATGGCCATGTAGGTGATTGTTGGATAAGTTTAAGTATAGTTTCAATCTACTCAAACCTGCAACTTCACTTGGAATTGTCCCCGAAATCCTATTATAAGAAAGGTCAAGAATTTCCAAGTTAATGCATTTTCCTAGGCTTGGTGGGATTGTACCTGAGAGCTGATTGTCATAAAGAAAGAGCTTTCTTAGCTGAGAAAGGTTAGCAAAGCTGTGAGGGATTGTACCCGAGAGTTTGTTTCTCGACAAATCAAGAAGGCCTAAATGGGGAACATTTCCAAAAGCTGATGGAATATGGCCGGAGAGTGAGTTATTCGATAGATACAGTCTCTCCAGTGTCTCCAGTTGACAAAGTTCAGGAGGGATCGAACCATTGAGGAGATTACTAGACAAGTTCAGTAGAGTGAGATTGACAAGATTTGAAATTTGTGGAGGAATAGGCCCACAAATATGGTTATCATCAAGATTTATCTGTGCAAGTTCAGTAGAGAGAGTACCAATAATAGAAGGCAACTCTCCCCCAAGATGATTTCCTGCCATATCGAGTTCTTGCAAGTTAGAGCAATTAGCTAAAGAAGCAAAAAATGGTTTGAGGTCAGTGTTACCATTATGACTCGAGAATTGGTTGTAGGACAACTGCAGAACTTTTAAGTTTACCATTTTACTCAGAATCTTGGATGGTAACTCCCCGGTTAGTGAGTTCGACTCCAAGTCGAGCCATTCCAATTTTGAAGAGTTTGAAAGGGCTTGAGGAACTGTGCCCACAAGATGGTTCGACCAAAGGAGGAGATATTTCAGCTCTTTAAACTCACAGTGATTCTTCAACTGGATTTCACCAGTAAGTGAATTGTTGGAAAGGTCTAAATACTTGAGAGAAGAAGAGACATTACAAAAAAGTGATATATGTATGTCACCTGTTAGCTTGTTACTTCCCAAATTTAGATACGTTAACTGATGAAGAAATCCCAATTCAGTTGGAATGTATCCTTCAAGACGATTGGATGATAAGCTGATCTCTTCAAGTCGGGAAAGAGAGCCAAATTCAGCAGGGATGCGACCTTCAAAGAAGTTCTCAGACAGATCAAGAATCAACAAGTAAGAAAGCTTGGATAGAGATGGTGCGATTTTTCCACGTAACGATTTTTGACTTAAAGCAAGCTTTACAACTCTATTCCCATTCTTGTCACAAGTTACACCTGACCATTTGCATACATCAGAAGAGTTCCAATTCTTTAAAGCATTTTTAGGGTCATCAGTGATTTGAGACATGAACGATAAAAGGGAAGCTCGATCGTTCAAAATTTGCACACCATTTTCTGCACATACGGCGTCAAAAACTATGATCAAGAAAAGTAAACTGAACCTGGAAAATTTTCTATACTCCATTTCTGTATATACGAGGAAATTGATCGTTTTGAAAGAAGGACTAATTCAGAGAGAGACTAATAGAAGTATATATAAGAAGAGGGCCGGTTGAGAGAAAATGCTGTGAACCATGTTATAAGGGTGTCTTTGATGGCTAGAGATGTCCAATACAAAGAAGCAAACGCAAGAAATCGGAAAACTTTCTGCCTAACTTTATATGAAGCCTAATCTTTGACAATGAGTATTGAACAAGTGTGAACCGTTTTTTGCGCCACATAAGCGTTGTTAATTACATTTGGTGGTTTACATGTCATTACGCCTAACTATGTGTTCTGTGGTTCCTTCAGGGATTAGTGTATATAATTAGTGGATGATGAGTTGTTAAATTTAAGATGGTTTAGGTTACAAGCACGCTTCAGATTTGACGATAGGATAATATATAGGAAACTTTTGATTCTGGTAGAGTTGTCGGGCTCAGATAGTTCATTGTGCATGTTGACGTCATTTCTTATTCATAATTGTGTATATTCAGAGTGTTTCCCTTATATTAGTAAATAAGAAGTACTTGAAATTCAGCAATAAGAAGTGGTTAAAGGTGGCACTTTACTTGGTAATCCATTGAAGTTCTAAACTTTACGTTGAAAGGTCACTCTGTTAAGCACTGGGGTCCTGTTCAGCATGCCGAATGCCCTTGAATTTCTCAGAAGTTATGGTTTTCATGCAAATATAGAAAAGATTAAGGTAGAAAGGCAAGTTTTGTTATGCTGTATTTTTACTTGCACTGTGTACCATACAAATTCGTATTTCGTTATTCAATTACCATACCATGTAAATTTTTTTTCACAGAAAAATATTATAGCTAGTAAATGACCTATGCTCTATCAATGGTATTTTAATAACTTTTCATTTGTTCTCATTTGGTTGACACTTGGCTGTGGGAATGCGTCAGGTGTAATCACACACACATATATATTTTTTTATCGTAAGTTATATGAGGAATATATTTTGCAATCAGTGCCATACTTTGTCATTTTATATATATAAAGGAATTCAAGGGGCCCTTCTATTTTTCGTGTACGAGGTAAGACGTAGAGGTGTAAGAATACCTTGTAATAGCTAATCATAATGAAAAATCAGCAGCAAGTGGACACATCTTTGATATTGAAAGTAGACTATAAATCTATGTGCTTTCTATTTCTTGATTAAGAACGATGATGATCTACATTCCATACGACACACAATTTCATGAATAGCTTCTTTCGACATCGTGATGGAGGACATAGCTCGGAGTTCATGAGTTCTCTCATGATAGAATAATAAGTCCTCGATGCAAAAGGCATTGTTTTGTAGAATTGCAATAAAATGATCCAATTATTATTAAACAATTAATGTGGTTTTCTGCCTAGTTGACATATATATCTTGTGCAGTAGAATTTGACCTCATGACTTGAATCACACTTTAAAATTCAAACGTGGCGAATCTACACTATGCGTGTTAGATGGATTTTTTTCAACATAAAAAACAAGTAAAAAGACGGTAATTTTTTCTTTTGTTTATAACGCAAGAAGAAACCAGTAATTAACAATATGCAGATCATATATTTGGAAGGTACTCTCTAGTGGAAGTTTATTATAATTCAATAAGAAAAAGTTCATCTAAAAAATTCTTAGTGGAGTATAAATTAATAGCCAAAGCACAACTTGCCTAGATAAAAATACCATTTCACTGTTCAAATAAATTCTTGCAAGTAAATTAATAGCCAAAGCACAACTTAAAAACGTCATTATTTTCTTGTTCAAATACAGTTTATGCACAACTCGACGTTCATAATTCCTCTTAAAGCAACTTGTTAGACTTATTCAACAATAAAAAAATATAGGGTTCCCATTTTGAGCTAAATGCTTCTTAAGATTTATCACATTGCCAGACGATCGTGGGAAAATTTAAATGGGGAATGGAAATGGGAGTTCGGTGCCAGCACCATACAACTATAATGTAAAGAGGGACATATTATATAAGAAGAAAAGAGAAGCTCTAATGACGAAAATCTGTCAGTCTTTCGAGAATAGAAAAAAATAGAACGAGAAACAGAAGGTCTCAAAGATAGAAAAATTAGAAATCTATCAACGAGAAGACATAGAAAGAACAAGATAACCATGTCTTGAGGGGACAAAGAAAGCCCTGGTAAAGGGACATTTTTGGATTATAACTTATAAGTAATTGAATAATAAGCCCTTGTTTGGTAGCCATTAAAAAAAAAAAAAAATGTTTTGAATAGTGAATTTTTGGAAAATGTGTGGTTAAAAAATATGGAAATTTTTTGGATTTACGTGTAGTATATTTTATTGTGTGAATATATAGTTGAAAATGAGTATGCAGAAAAAAGAATTTTAAAAGAATGAGAGACAAACATTCGCTAAATAGTAAACATGGGATATCTTAAAGACCACAAATGAGGGAACCAAAATTAGAATGAAAGACAATGAATTGTGTGATGATTTCTATACGAAGTTAACTGACATAGTGAACTCTAGTTTCAACCGAAGTGAGTATTCCTGAGTCTAAAATTGTTCAAAAAGTTCTTAAGTCCTTACATGAAAGGTTTAGACCTAAAATCACTGCTATTGAAGAGATCAAGGATTTTGATATAGTTAAGATATAGGTACTTGTAGGATCTCTCCAAACTTATGAACTCACCAAATCTCAACTAAAGAAGAATAAGTGTATAGCCTTAAATATCGTTAAGGAAGAAGAGTATGGCTCTACTGATACTAAGACTTTTAGGGATGAGGAGATAGCCTATTTTGTTATGAAATTTCAAAAAGTCCTTATGAATAAGAAAAAATCTCAAGAGAGAAAGAAGGCTGTGTTTAGTAAGTTCAGTAAAGACAAGCGTGATAAGACTAATGCTAGGAGTTCGAGTAAGAAATCTCAATCGTGATAAGACTAATACTAGGGTTTTGGCCACTATACAAATGGATGCCCCAACTATAAGAAGAACCTAAATAAACGAAAGGTAAGGCAATGGTTGTGTTAGTTACTTACAATGAGTCCAATTTTAGTAACCAGAGCGATTCTTCTAGTAGTGAGGATGAGATGGACTATATGGTTTTCGCTTCTATAATTAAGAGTGATTTAGACAAGTACAGTGATAGGGTAGAGGATGTAGAGCATAGTAAGGGTTCTGAGGATGACACTGAGATTCGTGAGGCGTATAATTAGTTATTTGAGGAGAGTCTTAGGACAAAAAATGTGAATAAAGCCGTATTGAAGAATGATAATGAACTTGAGCTAGAGAAAAAGACTCATAGCTAACCTTTAGGATTCTACCAAAAGCCTTAGCGAATTAAGACTTGTCAATGAAAACTTAGAGACTAAGGTTTAAACCCTAACAAGCGAGCTTGAGAAATTCAATACTCAACTTCATTCATTCTTGAGTGGTTCCCAAAAATCTGATAACCTGTTAGGGATGAACAAGCCTGCTGGAAATAGGAGATGTCTAGGATATATTCAAACTGATAATAATACTGTTGGTAAATCCGAGACCACTTTTGTCCCAACCACTAACCATCATAGGAATGTTGCAAATCCTGAACCCAAGGGCAATGGTGTCTTAGGACAAAGGCCTACTATACAATGTAAGACCAATTGACCAGAAACCAATATCAGCAATCATGTAGTTTGAAGCTATGTTTATTCCAACGTGTTACAATTGTGGTGTGTTAGGACACAAAAGGCCTAGGTGTCATAAACTTGTGAATATGAGTATGAGTTAGGATATCTTTAGCAAGGCTAACATCTTTACCAATCAAGTTAGCCACTAGACTTAAATGATGACATAGTTGACTAGGATTACCTCTACTTCTAGAAAGGCGTGGGTTAAGAAAAGTGATCTCCCTATGTATAATGAACAATTGAATTACTATGTTGCTCTTAAGGTTAAAAATGACTCTATGTGGTATCTTGCTCTAAACATATGTGTGGTATAAAGCCTTGTTTTCTACTCTTGATGATTAAAAAGGTGGTATGGTTACTTTTGGAAAAGGTGCTACTGACCTATCATTGGTAAATGTACTGTCAATATATCTGGATTGCCTGCTATCTCATATGTGTTTTATGTGAAGTGTTTAAAATCTAACTTGTTAAGTATTAGTCAAATATGTGATGCTGATTTTGATGTTAGTTTTGTCTAGAAAATGTGTACTGTCTATGATTCTAACGGAAACGTTGTCATCGAATGAGTAAGAACTTCTGACAATTGTTATGTAGCAATACTAAGATTGAAATGATTGAAATTTGGCATCAAAAGCTTGGTCATATGAACTATAATAGTTTATCTAAGTTGGCTAAGAAGGAACTTGTGAATGGTTTACCTAAACTTGAAAAATTTGAAAACAATATTTGTGGCTCTTCAACAAGGTAAATAACTTAGAGTAAATCATAAGCAAACTTCTAGCATACTGAAAAATAGGCTTTTATAATTACTCCATATGAACTTAATGGGACCATCTAAGATCGAGAACATTGGTGGTAAGAATTATATTTTGGTTATGGTTGATGATTTCTCTAGGTTTACATGAACTGAGCTGTTGAGAGAAAAATCTGAGGTATTTAACCTAGTTAAATCCTTGTGTATTAGTGAATTTTTGGAAAATGTGTGGTTAAAAAATATGAAAATTTTTTGGATTTACGTGTAGTATATTTTATTGTGTGAATATATAGTTGATAATGAGTATGCGGAAAAAAGAATTTTAAAAGAATGAGAGACAAACATTCGCTAAATAGTAAACATGGGATATGTTAAAGACCACAAACGAGGGAACCAAAACTAGAATGACGGACAATGAATTGTGCGATGATTTCTATACGAAGTTAACTGACATAGTGAACTCTAGTTTCAACCTAAGTGAGTATTCCTGAGTCTAAAATTTTTCAAAAAGTTCTTAAGTCCTTACATGAAAGGTTTAGACCTAAAATCACTGCTATTGAAGAGAGCAAGGATTTTGATATAATTAAGATA